AGAGGAAAATTTATAGCACTAAATACCCGCATGAGAAATGAGGAAAGATCTAAAATCGACACCTATTGTCAAAATTAAAAGAGCTAGAGGAGCAAGATTAAATAAATTCAAAAGCTAGCTGAAGACAAGAAATAACTAAGATCAGAGCAGAACTGAAGGAGATAGAGACACAAAAAAACCCTTCAAAAATCAATAAATCCAGGAGCTGGTTTTTGAAAGCATCAACAAAATAGATAGACCACTAGCCAGATTAATAAAAAAGAAAAGAGAGAAGAATCAAATAGATACAGTAAAAAATGATAAAGGGGATATCACCACTGATTCCAAAGAAATACAAACTACTATCAGAGATTACTACAAAAACTTTATGCACATAAACCAGCAAATCCAGAAGAAATGAATAAATTCTGGGATACTTACACCTTCCCAAGACTAAACCAGGAAGAAGCTGAGTCCCTGAACAGACCAATAACAAAGTCTGAAGTAGAGGCAACAATTAATAGCCTACCAGCCAGAAAATGTCCAGGACCAGATGGGTTCACAGCTGAATTCTACCAGATGTACAAAAAAGAGCTGGTCCATTCCTTCTGAAACTATTCCAAACAATACAAAAAGAGAGAATCCCCCCTGACTCATTTTATGAGACCAACATCATCCTGATACCAAAACCTGGCAGAGACTCAACTAAAAAAGAAAATTTCAGGCCAATATCCATGATGAATATAGATGCAAAAATCTTCAATAAAATACTGGCAAACCAAACACAACAGCACATCAAAAAGCTTATCCATCACGTTCAAGTAAGCTTCATCCCGGGGATGCAAGGCTGGTTCAACATATGCAAATCTATAAATGTAATCCATCACATAAACAGAACCAAAGAAAAAAACCACATGATTATCTCAATAGATGCAGAGAAGGCCTTTGATGAAATTCAACAGCACTTTATACTAAAAACTCTCAATAAACTAGGTATCAATGGAACGTAACTCAAAATAATAAAAGCTATTTATGACAAACCCACAGCCAATATCATACTGACTGGGCAAAAACTGGAAGCATTCCCTTTGAAAACTGGCACTAGACAAGGATGCCCTCTCTCACCACTCCTATTCAACATAGTATTGGAAGTTTTAGCCAGAGCAATCAGGCAAGAAAAAGAAATAAAGGGTATTCAATTAGGAAAAGAGGAAGTCAAACTGTCTCTATTTGCAGATGACATGATTGTGTATTTAAAAGACCCCATATCATCTCAGCCCAAAATCTCCTTAAGATCATAAGCAACTTCAGCAAAGTCTCAGGATACAAAATCAATGTGCAAATATCACAAGCATTCTTATACACCAAATACAGACAAACAGAAAGCCAAATCATGACTGAACTCCCATTCACAATTGCTACAAAGAAAATAAAATACTTAGGAATACAACTAACAAAGGATGTGAAGGACCACTTCTAGGAGAACTATAAACCATCGCTCAATGAAATAAGAGAGGACACAAACAGATGGAAACATATTTCATGCTCATGGTTAGAAAGAATCAACATAGTGAAAATGGCCATACTGCCCAAAGTAATTTATAGATTCAATGCTATCCCCATCAAACTACCATTGACCTTCTTCACAGAACTGGAAAAAACTACCTTAAACTTCATATGGAACCAAAAAAGAGCCTGCATAGCCAAAACAATCCTAAGCAAAAAGAACTAAGCTGGAGACATCATGCTATCTGACTTCAAACTATACTATAAGGCTACCGTAATCAAAATAGCATGGTACTGGTACCAAAACAGAGATATAGACCAATGGAACAGAACAGACGCCTTGGAAGTAATGCCATACATCTACAACCATCTGATCTTTGACAAACCAGACAAAAACAAGCAATGGGGAAAGGGTTCCCTGTTCAATAAGTGGTGTTGGGAAAACTGGCTAACCATGTGCAGAAAGCTGAAACTGGACCCCTTCCTTACACCTTATACAAAAATTAACTCCAGACGGATTAAAGATTTAAATAGAAGACCTAACACCATAAAAACCCTAAAAGAAGACATAGGCAGTACCCTTCAGGAAATAGGCATAGGCAAGGACTTCACGACGAAAACACCAAAAGCAATGGCAATAAAAGCCAAAATAGACAAATGGGATCTAATTAAACCTAACAGCTTCTGCACAGCAAAAGAAACAATCATTAGAGCAAATTGGCAACCAAGAGAATGGGGAAAAATTTTTGCAATCTACCCATCTGACAAAGGGCTAATATCCAGAATCTACAAAGAACTAAAACAAATATACAAGAAAAAAAAAAAACTCCATCAAAATGTGGGCAAAAGATATGAGAGACACTTTTCAAAAGAAGACATTTATGTGGCCAACAAGCGTATGAAAAAATGCTCATCATCACTGGTCATTAGAGAAATGCAAATCAAAACCACATTGAGACACCATCTCACACCAGTTAGAATGACGATCATTAAAAAATCTGGAGACAACAGATGCTGGAGAGGATGTGGAGAAATAGAAACGCTTTTACACTGCTGGTGGGAGTGTAAATTAGTCAACCATTGTGGAAGACAGTGTGGTGATTCCTCAAGGATCTAGAAATAGAAATCCCATTTGACCCAGCAATCCCATAACTGGGCATATACCCAAAGGATTATAAATCGATCTATTATAAAGATACATGCATACATATGTTCATTGTGGCACTGTTTACAATAGCAAAGACTTGGAACCAACCCAAATGCCCATCAAAGATAGACTGGATAAAGAAAATGTGGCACATATACACCATGGAATACTATGCAGGCACAAAAAAGGATGAGTTCATGTCCTTTGCAGGGACATGGATGAAGCTGGAAACCATATTCTCAGCAAACTGACTCAAGAACAGAAAACCAAACACCACATGTTCTCATTCATAAGTGGATGTTGAACAATGAGAACACATGGACATACGGAGGGGAACATCACACACTGGGGTCTGTTGGGGGGTTGGGGACTAGGGGAGGGATAGCAGGGGGTGGGGAGATTGGGGAGGGATAAGAATGGCAGAAATGCCTAATGTAGGTGGCAGGGGCATGGAGGCAGCAAACCACCATGGCAGGTGTCTACCTATCTAACAATCCTGCAAGATCTGTACATGCACCCCAGAAGTTAAAGTAAAATTTAAAAAAAGAAAGAAAAAAATAAATGCTGATTCTTGTCAGAAAGAAGCTCCAGTTTTTACACTAGATCACTGTTAACTGACCACCACTTAGCTGAGTCTCTCATCAACCGGTTGCAAACCTAAGACGTCCACAGTTCGCCAGGGTTGGACTCCCCAGACATCTGGAACTGCTCCCATTAGGTAAGCTGTGTACTAACCCAAATGACTGCTAAATGTCCCCACACCTTTTAATTTCAGCTCTTTCTGTCATAATCATTAGTGAAAGGAGAGCAAAGAGAAAGTGCTGTTTCTTAGTAAACTAAAGACTCACAGTGCGGCTGCAGAAAAAGATACTGACTGTTGAATTAGTCTACGTGGCAGGGTCATGATCAAGATGCGAGTATCTTTAAACCGAAAACAATACCTTCTTGTTAAGATTTATGCACACACAAAAAAGGAAAAGGACCCCATCCAGCATCAGAGGATCAGCAAATTGATAAACATTGGTATTTTCAGTTAAAATAAAATATTTAGGGTTTTCGTAACTTTCTTAAAATAAATCTCCCATTTTGAACATCTTTTTCAGTTATCCAGTGATTACTAGTTCTACTGCCCTGGAAAAGAAACTTCTCCTGAGGACTGTGGTTCTGACATATCTGTGCCCCTACTGCAAAGTTTCATGAGGTTTTTGTTTATTGTGGTGAAACACATGGACAAATTTCACCATTTTGAGGCCTACAATTCAGTGGCAGTAGGTGACTCACAGTGCTGTGTAACCATCACCCATAGCGAGTTCAGAGCACCCACAAGAAACCCCTTTCCCCGCAGCAGCCGCTTCCCCTCTGCCCATGCCCCGCGCCCCCGCCACTTTCATTTTCCCAGGATGTCCACCTTGTGGACATTTCATGTCAGTGTCTACACTTTCGCATCTGGCTCCTCTCCTGGCATTTTCTGTACTTTAAAATTAAATGGGATGAGAATTGACATCTTGAGATCTTCGGGAATTTTTTAGGACGCAGACCAGCCTTCTGCATTTGGAAGCTCGCGTGGGCAGCCGGGCTCTCCCTGGAGTCGCCACGTCCCTCAGGAAGGTTCCAGGGCCCGGCTGGGGCTCTGAGGCCAGCGCGGCGGCGGGGCCTGGGGCCAGCAGGGGTCTCCGCAGCCTTCGCGGCTCCATTTCGCGCAGCCTCTCCGGGGCCCCAACCCAACCTCTGGGCACTGGATGAAGTCTCACGGATTGGGGGCCAGGGCCCCTGTCCCACAAGGGACTGCGATTCCTTCAGGAGCGTCTGCCCGACCCGGGGCCACAAGAGCTCGGCGGGGCTGCCTCCCTGGTCCCCACACCGCGCGCTCGGGCTCGACCTGGGGACGGGGAGGGGACCCTGGCCGGCCGGGGGCCTCTACCCCGCGAGGCCTCGCATCCCCTTCCCGGTGTCCGAGGTGGGGGCTGCCCGGCCCTGCCTTGCCTCTCCGTCGCAACTCCACCCCCGAGACCCGGAGACCTCCAGCCCCGGAGGGAGACGCGGGAGACGCGGGAGACACCGGCACGCCCTTTCCGGAAAGCCACTGACCCCCAGACTCCCGCCCGAACTAGGGGTCGGACTTACTGTCAAGGTTGAAAACCCCCAGCTGCAGCTTCGGGGCGGGGGCGTCTCCAAAATGAATACGTCCTCCCCGGGATCCCCCGGAGCTCAGCGCCCAGGCGCAGCGGGGCCCTCGGAATTCGCGCCGGAGCCGCAGGGAAGGGCCGGGGGAGGACGCAGCGCCGCCCGCCTTCCTCTCCCACCCGGACCCTGTCCGCGTCCCAGGCTCGGTCCCTGGAGCCGCCGCTCACGCCCCCGGCCCGCGCACCTCTTCCGCACTGGCTTTTTCCTCTTCTTCGCGGCGTACCTGCCCGCGGCGGACCGCATGGTGTCTGCAGGCGGCCGCTCCCCTCCCGGCCGCACAAAGGGGACGGGGACGCGGGGACCGTCGGCGCGCGCGAAGGAAACCGCTGCCAGGCGCCCGGGAAGGTGCGGCCACCCTCACGCGGAAGGCGGCCAGCGGGTCCCAGCGCGGGGTCCCGGCCGCACGTCTTCCTGCAGCGACCCGCGGGACCTGCCGTCCCCCCGCGCGCGCCGGGCCCGGGACACCCGAGGGTCAGCGCGCGCCTCCTCTCCAAACGGGACGCTGGGGCTCGGTGGCCCGAGGGACGGTGCGGGGAGCGCACGACGGGCCCGGGGTGCGCCTTTGCCGGGAACGCCGGGCGTCCACCTCCCGCTTAGGTGTCAGGAACCGCGGCAAGAATCTCCGGTTTTCCTTCAGGGTGGGCGGTGGCTCAAAACTGGACGGTTTTGCCTGAAAGACTCTGTTGGAAGGAAGACTTTCCTCACTCGCAGGTGCTGTCGCGTGAGCGGGGACAACACCGGGCGAACTCCGGAAGCCGCGCGTCCGGGGACGACCCCTCGGAAGGAGTCAGGAGAAGGTCTTGTTCGCACGCGCGGACGCGTCCCTTCGAGTGTCCGATCCACAGAAAGCCCGGCCCTAACCCGCTCCTCTCTCCCGCAGCGTTGGTGCGGACTCCGCCCTCTCGGGGACGGGAAGCCCCCGGGCTTCCGGAGAGGCCAGTCCTCGGGTAGCAGAGAGCACCCCTGGTCAAGGGCGGGGACGCTGGGCGGGGGGCGCGGGGCCGGGCGGAGAGGACCCGCCTCCACTCAGGACCGCCTCCAGGGCAGGTCTGCGCCCGTCTGAGGACCCTCCGGGAAAGCTCATTCCGGTTCCTTTGCAAATACCTCCTGCGCTTGGACTGGGGGAGAGCCCAGGCGTCGACCCCTGGAAACGTCTGTGTCCAGGAGCCTTTACTCCTAATTCTGCAGATGCGTGTACGTGTGTGAGATGCTTCAGATGCTTTTGGGAGCGAGATGTTAGAAAACTAATGGAAACGCCTCCTGATCTCACTGCCCTGCCCGGGGTGACAGCTGAGATGCGGCTTCTTCGGGGTGGAGCCTCCGTTTTCCAGAGCTGCGTGTTGAAGTCTTCCCAGGGTCCCTGACTTGCCCTGGAAACCGCTCACCTTGGCATTGGAATGTGGAACAAGAAATGCTTTTGCTTTCATTCGTCTTAGTGTTCATAAAATGGAAAACAATGAAGGACATTTAACAACATGAATAAAATAACGGATCTGGACTCTTCAGAAAGCACAACAAACACAAATCCAAGTACAGTCATGTCAGCAGCACATTCCTCCCCTAAGTTTTATGAAGTCATGGAGGAGAGGAGAACAGGAGTGGATGAGGGGCGGATATACATCTTGCGTGCTTCTCGCAGCCACACTCTTCCCATTGCTCCAGACCTGGAAATAGGACACAGGTTTCCCACGACCAGATCTCTACACTCTTAACTGCAGTGGGTGGACATTGGGGGGTGACCTCTCCCCAGTTCCCCGACCCGATCTCCATCGCCCAGGGCGCGACCCCTCCGCCAAAGGAGGCACGCAGGCGGCAGGGACAGGCCCTTCCCAGGGTTTCCTCTCTAAGCTTCTCCTCCTTCTTCCCACTCTTCATAATCGAATCTGGACAAGGATTTCAGAGTCTGGGCCTTGACCAAGGACAATAAGTGGATCCAGGGATGGAAAACTTTGTTTCTAGGTCCTGTTTTGCTACAACCCCGCAATAGGACTGTGGTCAGGCCTCGGTTCCTTCTCCAAGCTGAGGGGCGCTGTGTGGGGATCTCCGCCTCCTTTATGGTGTTCCCTGCAGTGATGGCGGCCAGGCCTCGGTCCCTTCCCTAAGCTGAGGGGCGCTGTGTGGGGAGCTCCGTCTCCTTTATGATGTTCCTGGCGGTGACGGCTTCGTTATTAGAACCGCCGAGTTCAAACGATGTTCCACAATGGCGCCCTTCTCTGTTGTGTCTTCGGAGTCCTTTTCCTTCTTATATATTGAAAATAGATAACCTAAGATAATATGAATATCAAACGGAGCCTGTTTCTTTGGACTTTGTAACAAGGAAAATTCCTACTAATGATCAGTCAGTTAGTGGGTGCAGATGCTTACATAAATCTGAATGCGAGCTTTATTTTATGATTGGATTGGGGTATATCCATGAACCTTGGACTTATCTAAAACTTTAGCTAACATTATGCAGTGTTCATTACTTAGCAATGGTACCATGGCTTGGTGTCTAGCATTCTTGGTAGAAAGCCATCGCTGTGTTAGAGACTGGTGGCTGTTTATTGAGGCCAACGGGGAGGCAATGCCCGACAGGCAGAGGTGGCTTCAGTCCTACTAATATGAAATCAGACAGCCACCAGCTGGAGAGCGAACTGAGATTATAACGATGTGCTCACTTCCCAAGGCCAGGGACGAGGGCCGCTTATAGTCCCACAATTACCTTGTCGACCGTAAAAGCTGAATTCCTTTTCCCATGACAGAGTTGGGCAGGGAGCCATCAAACTGCGATCCCGGAAATCAGGATGGGGGAGTCAGAGGATCCTCTACCCTCACAACCCCCTTTTGCTGCCTTTGCTCCTGGTGCAAGTTCTCACCTCTTCATCGCTTGAGGGCTGAGTAGAGTTCTGGGGGTGATGATGCTACCTCAGCTCTCTGTTCCCACTGCTTGGAGCCAGAGAGGAGGCAGGGACAGAAGTCATGGACTAAAGGCCTACAGACAGGGCAGAAAGAATGGCAAGATTCAGAGGAAAATGTTTTGTTTCCAGCCAGAATACATTGATAGGTCTCAAACCAGCTTAAGAAGGGCTGTGGCCTGGGATAATGCAGCCATGAAAGCCCCATTCTGAGGCAGGGGTGAGGAGCCTGAGGTGGCGCATGAGACTGAATGGTCACAGGCCCCTCCGTGCAGCAGAGTGCTGTGGCTTGGCACGGAGGGGCCTGTGACCGTTCAGTCTCATGCGCCACCTCAGGCTTTCATGGCTGCATTATCCCAGGCCACAGCCCTTCGTAAGCCCACCTGTAATCCCAGTAATTTGGGAGGCCAAGTTGGGTGGATCAAGAGGTCAGGAGATCGAGACCATCCTGGCTAACAAAGTGAAACCCCATCTCTTAAAAAAAAAAAATAAAAAATAAATCCTCTGGAATGAACATACCAAAGTAATAATAGTGCCCACCTGCTCGGGTAGGAGAGAACGGGGAATGGAGCAGATGGGGGATGTCACTGCACCTTTTCAAACTTCGAAATGTTCAAGCAATGTGAGCATGTCACTTACTGTTTTAAAGTAACTTTAACGTAGCAGCTTCTGAGCTGGAAGTCAGATGAGATGGAGTGCTCGGGCAGGGGTGCTGGTGCCTGGAAGGAAGCAGGAGGGCCCTGCGAGGTGAGCCACAGGGGCTGAGGCAGTCACTGCCCACTGACCTCGGGAACACAGCTGACCTGTCCCAGAGCACATGAGGAAGCAGAACAACCATGACCCACAACTGAGGCTGCAGAAACACTGGATAAGCAGAAAGGGAGATGAGATGCAGGGAACAGAAGGTTTTCCACGATGCAAGGAATTCACACCAGAGGATTTTATTTCTTAATCCCTCCATTTCAACTCTGGTTCACAGTTGAATTCGCTATAGGTTTAAGCACAGATTTGTTATAAGAATTTCAAAGGAGATAACCAGTATTCAATCAGAAGAAAGCTCACTTGGGTAGATCTAGGTAAGGGAGGAATGCAAAGTCAACACCAGATGAGACTGTCATTTCCAAGGAAACGCAGTGGTGATCTTTTTCATCATTATTTCACCTTCATGACTTGAATAGAAAATGTTGTTTGTAATTTCTGAAATTGTTAAATGTTCAATTAGTTACACTGAAACAGTATTTCTCTCCAGCAATCTGTGAATGCTACAGATCAAGATGAAAAGCTCAATGACAGGTGCAGTGTCTCATGCCTGTAATTCCAGCATTTTGGGAGGCCGAGGACAGCAGATAACCTAAGGTCAGGAGTTTGAGACCAGCCTGGCCAACATGGTGAAACCCTGTCTCTATTAAAAATAAAAAAATTAGCCGGGCATGGGGGTGAATAACTGTAGTCCCAGCTACTCAAGAGGCTGAGGCATGAGAATCGGTTGAACCCTGGAGGAGGAGGTTGCAGTGACCTGAGATTGCACCACTGCACTCCAGCCTGGGCAACAGAATGAGACTCCATCTCAAAAAAAAAAAAAGCTGGAAAATACTGTACTTGGCCAGGCATGGTGGGTCACACATGTAATCCCAGCACTTTGGGAGGCCGAGGCGGGTGGATCACCTGAGGTCAGGAGTTCGAGACCACCCTGGCCAATATGGCGAAATCCTGTCTCCACTAAAAATGCAAAAATTAACTGGGTGTAGTGGCATGTGCCTGTAATTCCCACTACTCAGGAGGCTGAGGCAGGAGAATTGTTTGAAACCGGAAGGCGGCAGTTGCAGTGAGCCAAGATCACACCATTGCACTCCAGCGTGGGCAGCAGAATCAAAACTCTATCTCAAAAAAAAAAAAAAAAGAGAAAGAAAGAAAGGAAATACTATGCTTAATCCCAAAAGGGCTCTTTAAATGTAATCTCTGTCCTTGGAAAACAAGCAGTGAAGGATCAGCCTCAGTAGAAAAGTAGGACCCAGACAACCCCACCTCCCCACTTCAGGGAGCACTCAGGGAGGGCTGCCCAGGGCCTGGAAGGTGAAATGCACAGACACAGTGGCCACAGAGAGCTGTGCTGTGCTGTGCACTGCACTCCACTAGGCCTGCAGCTCCTGCCCCTGCAAAGCACCAGGAGGCTTCAGGCAGAATACGAATTTGCTCGGATCATGAGGTCCAGTCCTCTAAGCCCCTCTGCCCTGCACTAGGTAAAAGACCAGAACAGGACACAGGGAAGGACCCAGAGAAGCTTCTGCACCTGACTGTGTGAGGGCAAGGTGGGCTGGAGGTAGGTAACAAGTTTTGGCTCCTGAACTGGCACTGCAAAAAGCAAATGGACCAGCAGGGAAAGTGGCATGGCAGAAGACCACATGTGGGACTCAGCCACTACTTTCAGGGGACATTCCCAAAGTGACAGTAAGCATCAAGAGACCACTTAATAGGGTCTCACTATTAAGAGTAAAAAGAGATTGTGTATGCCAATAATTAGAAAAATCAGAAATAACTAATGTTTAAACAGAACCTAAAACTGTAACACTTCAAGACCTTTGGGCTCATAGTCTGCCTGACACACAGGAAGGGGACAGGATGGCTCAGAGCACTGCCAAGAACCTCACCTGGCTCCTGCAAGACAGTTCTTCTCAGGACAAAGTGGACTTTTCCACAAGTTGGTCTTTAGCAATATTATAATAAACTGCACTTCCATTGTCTTGCACAAACTATCACAGCACCACACCAGTGCACTCTTAAAATGAGACAGGCTAGTGGCTCAGGCCTATAATCTCAGCACTTTGGGAGGCTGAGGTGGGCAGATCACCTGAGTCTGGGAGTTCAAGACCAGCCTGACCAACATGGAGAAACCCTTTCTCTACTAAAAATACAAAATTAGCTGGGCATGGTGGTACATACCTGTAATCCCAGCTGCTCGGGAGGCTGAGGCAGGAGAATTGCTTGAACCCAGGAGGTAGAAGTTGCGGTGAGCCCAAATCACACCATTGCCCTCCA